GCCAATGTACTACTGCGGTTTCCAGCAGTGCCAACATAATTGGAAATGCTTTTGCTTTTATTCCTGTAGTAATTAAATAGCCTTTGTGCCATAACCAAAGTGGATTGATAAAGATATTTGATTAAATACCACTAATGACTTATAATGAATGATTTCATGAATTGGGCAGCTTGGCAGCACAGTGGTTAACGCTGTTGCCTCACAGCAGGAAGGTCCTGAGTTTGAATCCACCCTACTTGTTCTCCTTGTGCATGCATTCAGCTTTCTCCCCTTTTATGGTGACTTTAAACTTCCATCCATCCATCCATCCATTCGCTTCCGCTTATCCTTTTCAGGGTCGCGGGGGGCGCTGGAGCCTATCCCAGCTGTCATAGGGCGAAAGGCGGGGTGAATTTAAACTTAAAAAACAAAAACAAGGACATGTCCAGGTGACTTTACAGTAACAGTAACAGTTTAAATATGAACATGTCACTCGCTGATGTGCCGAATCATTTTTAGACAACAATGAGAGTCTGTAGGACAGAAACAGCTTGCGTCACCCTGCACAGACAAAAGCTGATAAAAGAATTTGTTACTAAAAATACCAAATATTGCCAGTCTTGTCTATTAATGTTGCTAAGTGGGCGGTTGTATCAGTGTTTTACACCTTCTACAGCTCAAGTTTGAAAATTCTTGCATTTGTTAAGCTATTAAAGCAGCAATGAAACCCACCACAAACCTCCTTTCATTGGGGATCTCATAGGTGGCAGAGCAAACACCATATTTTAATATGTGAAACACATGATTAGCCCCACTTAACACACCAGGTTTCCTGTCATTTACAAAATTTGTAATGTGTTTACCTCGAGCAGGACTTCCAATGGAAAGAACAGAGTGTCACTTTCCAAAGATAAGTGTGTCTTAACAAGCAATAACAAATTAGATTTGGAGCCAGGTGCTGTTGACTTTACTAGATTTGACAGGTACTTAGGGTATCAATTGTAAGAAAAATGTGAACAGGTTAAACACGACGATGATTGTCTGCTCGCTCAAATATTATTTGTAACACAAAAGATGAGCTCAAAGCAGCGATTATTAGCTATACCTACACTCAGTGACTTCGTGAACTTATTCATATGCAGCGAAGGGAGCAAAGCACTCTTAGCACCAGGGTTTTAGCCTCCACTGGGAACAGCCATGTGCTAAAATATATGCAAGAAACCGTGCCGGATAGAGGTGCCCACCAGATAGCCCAAGTTATTTTAATATTAGCTATCAAGCAACAGAGATGTGTCTGTAGTCTCCCCCATGGGAAGCCAAATTTTCTAGGACATCAGGCCTGAGTGCCGCACTGACCATTATGAGGTTAAGTCGAGTTTTTTTTTTAAGAAGTAAACACCGCGCCGGGTGGACGTGCAGTCAGTGTTCTAGAACATTTTCTTCTGTTACTTTCTCGTCTCCACAGGAACGAAAATAAAAAGCAGCTCCCAGAGCAGAACAAGTGCGATCTCACTGCAGGTTAAACAAGTTGAATGTTGTCTCAAACACTTGACAGTTTCATTGCCGTGCCTTGACCTTGTTCTTTATGCCAGATTGTAGTTACTTCAAAACACCATCTCTCTCTTGTTTAGCCCACACTGCTGCGAGCTGTAGAACTCAGTGCTAACGCTGAAATATCTGCATCTGGCTGAACAGGATATTAAAGTGGTTTTATGTCCATCCATCCATCCATTCGCGTCCGCTTATCCTGTTCAGGGTCGCGGGGGGCGCTGGAGCCTATCCCAGCTGTCATAGGGCGAGAGGCAGGGTACACCCTGGACAGGTCGCCAGTCTGTCTGTTTTATGTCATTTTGCTTATTATCTATTCAAGTACCATCAGTTCCCCAAGACACAGATGTAACCTCTGTGGGTCTTACTTCTGTACACACCTTTGCTAAACGTTTCCTTTGTATATAAGATAAAGTATAAAGAAAAAAACTTTTTGCTTTCCTTTTGCAGGAGTGAGAAATGTAGGTTATATGATGTGTAGTGTCAGACTTCCAAATAAGAAGAAGCCAAAACTGCACTAATATTTCCATGACGAATGTGCTCCCGTGTGCAAATGTTAAAATGTTGCAAATTTTTTTTGTGGCAGTTCTTTAGCCTCTTCTACTCAACCAGTTTGGTAGCCAAGAAATTTGTCATTCAGGTCACTATTACTTCAAAGACCGCTTGCTTTAGCAGCAGCCAAGTTTAAAATTAAAAACATGACAGCTAGGGAGAAAGTGAGAATACATTTTCATTGCATTTCCAAAAAAAAAAAAAAAAAGTTTTTATGAAATTTCACATTCTCCAGGGCTTTTCCAGGCCTGGAAGAAAACACTCAATTTGCACAGCTAGAGACAACATTCATATTTGTTAAACATTCATGAAAGGAAAAAGAGCTTAAAATTATTCAGAAATGTTGGAGAAGACCCTGACTCTGCTCGATCTGAAACGTTTGGGGGGGGTTGTCTGCTTTAAAGAGCCTAGGAAGCCTAAAGGTGAGAAAGAGCTGGAAGACTGGACACGAGTATGTGGATGCATCTGTTTGCTGTTAACGCTGATGTTTAATGCATCTCTTCTGTTCTGCTCTGTGGCTGGAGAACGCTCGTAGGGGTATCTGTGCTGGCACTGCAGATAACAGAATGGCACTACCTTCATCTGTCCCCACAGGGAACATGGCAGCGAGAGGAGCAAGAAAGAGAGATTAAGACACCGAGAAAGACTGAGTGAAGGAGAGCAAACAATTTTCACGTTAATTAGCATCCCTCTCCTCCCCCGCAACGCAAACAATGCAGAACCCACAGAACGGGAAGCAAACAGGGACACGGCTGCTGCGAGCTTGCTAACTTTAAGTCTCCTCATCTTGTGCTGAATCAGTGGCAGGCGGCAAAACACATCAAAAAGGACAGCGCTGTGGGATTAAGAGCAAGTCAGAGGGAGTGGTGGGAGGCTAGGAGTAAAAAAAAAAAAAAAACACAAGCCAGGGGAAGGTGGGGAGGGCTGTGGAGACCGGCGAGGGAAAACTAGGCAAGGGACAGAGGGGAAAAATGGAGGAGGCAAACAGAAGGGGAAGATGGGAGAGCCAGACATGAAAGGAGAAAGACAGAGGAGAACATGGTGGGAAGGTGGGAAATGGGGAGGATAAGAAAGAGGCAGGGGACAAGAAAAGCAGGGATAGGGAAAAAAAGAAAAGAGCAGCTAGAAGGAAGGCGGGGGAATCTAAAAAATGAGGAATGAAGGAGAGACAGAAAGGGGAAGAGTAGAGAAATAGGGAGCACAACGGGAAGATGGTTCTGTTTATGAATCGCTGTGACTCTGCTTCCTACACACAGCTGCTCTGCTGACATGCAAACACCCAAATGCTGACGCATGTCAATAAACGTACCAGCATCACAATCCAGTAACCGCGGGGTTTCTAAGTGAAAGCAGAGGAAGTGAGGTGCACAATGCCGTCCTACTGCCTTTAATGGCGAACGCATCCAAAATAAACCTCAGGAGAGAAAGGCGGTTTATTCAGCTGATGCTGAAACACGTTGTCGAACAGCCGAACGGCCGGTCAGAAAAATAAAAAAAGGATCCATCAAAGCAGCTTGATCAAATCTATCGTCCTTTACATGGCTGCCGGATCGATAAAAACAGCACGACTCGGAACAGCTGGCAATTTCTTCAATGCAATGTGGCGAGCACACAAACATGAAAAGAGTCCTACAATTCTCCTCTGGGTTGGAGGCGCGCAAACACAAACTCGCACGCTGGATACTCGAGAGAAATACCATACATGCAGTCGAGCATGCAAGGACACAGTTGTGTATCCAATTTTTGTTCCATCTCATTTTTGAATCGATAACACATTACAGCAGTTTCTGAAGACGTCGAGCACAGACTCGGGGATTCGTCCAAGCCGAACATATGCACATTTTTAGACCTGCCAGGGAAAAAAACCAAAACAAACTGCATCTCCATCATTACAAAGTAGCGCATCACTGTGCCAACAATACTCCAGAAATTCATTTTAAATTCCAGTCAAGACACAGAGGTGAGTCACTCAAACATAACAGATACATCACAGGAAGATGTGTGCAAACTCATGTGCAAGACGGCAAAAAACAGTTCCGTCTCCGTGCCATCGCACATTTTAACATCTGAGTCAACACGGCATCATAAACTGCAGAAGTAAGCCGATACAGGGGCTACTGTATGTGCCTGACTTCAAAGCAAAGCAAACATTATGAATGTGGAATTAACTCTGATTCTAACGATGCTTCTTTTGAATTTTAGGCTCATGTATCTTTTAAGTGAGTAGCTGCCATACAAACATGAGCATGTAGCTGCAGTTTAAGATACCATCAACAGAATATCTTCAATTCTTCAAATGACTGAAGTCATCTCCACTTCTTGTAAGAGTGTCTTAAGGCATATACTAAGGGTGATCTCACACCAGCCACGGCTGCCTTGCACCGTGCTTTCATATAACTGCTCCCCACTCCTTACGATGCCCTTACCAGTCCAGGCCAGAGCGCCACAGTTTGTCTCAACGTCTCTACTCCACTCTCGAGCTCACAGCTTCTTTCTCACAGACACATACTTTTAAAATAACCTTGCATTGCATAATGAGGTTCATCACGTTACATATTTTGTGGGTTATTTGGGGAAGTGGTGCTACGCTGTTTCTTTAACATTTGTTAATTGCTTAACACAGTGATTAACAGGCGGGTCAAACGAACACACACACACACACACACACACACACAAATAGCACATTTTACTATCACGTTTGCCACAAAATAATGTTTTTACAGTGTACGTCAGGCTGTGTAAGGCACAGCAGAATCAAAAATGGCTGGTATAAAAAGGGGAAAGCAGCTTTGGTAATCCATCACCATCGTTCACGTTGAACACAGGCACATGTATGTACACATTAAGGGTGAGTGCAGCAACATTAACGCCCGGCATCTCTGGTGGAGGAGCGGGCGAGTTGACAGGGGACGGCCGCTTACCTGAAGAACGTGACGAAGAACTGCACCAGATCCATGAAGTTACTATGCTGGGAGAAGGCAATCTGTTAAAACAGGAGACAGAGGGCACAGGAGTGAGTCAGAAATCTGCTTTAATAGAGGAGATTTTGAAGCAGGTCAGCGTTATACATTCAAAAAAATAAATAAATCAAGCTTTTGACCAGCGCTGACCTTGCAGATCTGAGGAGAGCAGGAGGGATGCTCCTGCTCTCACTATGCATGTTTGCATTGCATACTGTGAACCATCTATATGATCAACACTTTACAGTGTGTCTAAAACATTTATTATTCTTATTCTTATCAGTGACATTTCTCCTTCGCTGAGGCTACCCATACACGGCTATCCCCAACTGCTGGGAGGTTGCCAGTCGGTTGGCTTATCTGTGCTCCCGACTACACGCCTGTCAGAGACAACGACCCAGCCGCCGGACCTCTCAGCTGCCCACAGCCTGCACAAAAAAAAGCATTCCTGCACATGTGGGCAGAAATATTCACTATGTAATCATCACAAGAGCAATTGTGCTAACATAATCCTGTCTTAATCAAGGTTGCCAGGGGTAACATTGGCAGTGAGGTACCAACTCCCCAATGCCCCCTCCTCTTCTTACGCCTACAACTCCACCCCCAAGCAAAATGCCTTACATCCACCTGTTCCTACAACAACACAACACTGCCTCTATCTGGCAAACCAGAGGTAATGTAGCTGCTGCCATGTTTCTGTTATGTGGGAACTTGAACCAAAACTCCTCACTGCTTATAATTTGTATGAAAAGCTGGTGCAGCATAGCATTCCTGGGAGGGT